GTGTGTGTGTGTGTGTGTGTGTGTGTGTGTGTGTGTGTGTGTGTATACATGTTTTTGCTACCTGGTGGGGATGATTTTTAACTATTTTCCCATTACACGCAGCCTGGTGAGGAGGCACTGTTCCTTGTTGGGACCAAAGCCCGGGGAAATATCATTGGTGGGTCGGGGGTTTGGTTTATGACTAACGTGTGAATCGAGTTTACATTAAATTTAGGGTCAGGCATGTACCTGTGAAGTTAGGTTAGGGATCAGGCTATTGAAATGACCAGTAAATGAATGGAAGTCAATGCAAAGTCCCCACAAGGATAGAAGAACAAACGTGTGTGTGTGTATGACTGACCTGTGCTGCCTGAGCCAGTCTCTCCATCTTCTCCTTGATGGATCTGGATGAAATCCTCTGTCTCGAGCTGRAAGAACAAAATACATAAGATACAATAAATCTATAACCTAAATAATAAACTAAAGAGCAGTAACTGGTTCAAACTTCACAAACTTACTTCCTCTGAAAAGATGTTTTATCTTCATCTTCATTTTGGTCCTATTGTTGAAAGAGAAGCAAAGCTTCATTTTCTAAACCTTCGTTTTGAAAATATTTGAATAAAGAGATTTCCAAAAACTTAAAGAAATCAACTCACTGCTGCATCAGGTTCAAACTTTTTGGAGGCCATCCTCACACTGGCACTAAAAAAAACAACCAATAAATCAGAAACGAAGCAGCAGGAAGCAGATTCAAAGAAGCTAAAAACACAAAGAAGACATTTCCTCACCTCCTCTGCAGTGGTGCCGTCTCCTCCTCTTTCTTCTTCATCATCTAAGTCAAAACAAGCCCAAATGAGTGAATGGGTTCCTGTCCTCACAGCTGTTTGAATGTCAGCATTTTATGCACGTTTATCTCCTCTCTCGGGACGTGTTTAGGTGTTGGCAGAGCAGTCAGCAATAAAAGCTTGGGAATAATCCTGCTGCTGTCAAGCTTCCGTCCAAAGCTTGAGCACAAGCAAATTATCCTGAGCTGATAGATCGTCAGCTGATTAAATGTGAGCTTTAAAAGTCAAATTGGCAGGTAATGTTTGCATTTGGCAGGAGGAATGTGTGTGTGTGTGTGTGTGTGTGTGTGTGTGTGTGTGTGTGTGTTTACCCTGAAAGATATGGTCCTGGAGCTCTGTCTGGTGAAGGCAGGTTTAGCTGTTTGTTCAAACACCCCATCAGCTGAAGGACTATTCAAAGCGGTCTGAGATAAAAACACAAATAAAATGTGTGTTATATGGAATCAATGTGAGCCCATGCACATTATGTGACCCACCACACCGAACCGAGGATTAAGTAGTTGTTTGTGGAGGAATTTGCAACTATAGTGCACTGATCAAAAATGTTTGCAACAATTGCATCATGTCAAAAATAAAATGAATAAAAAAATTTCATAATTGGGTGTTTAAATATGTTCAAAATTTCATCCGAATATTGTTTGTTTCCTCTTTAAATTGACATAAAATATTCCTCATTAGAATAACCTAAAAAATAGGAATCAGACTTGATCCTCAGTTTGATTTGATGGGTCACTTTCTGAGCTGATGAACTGTTTGTTCCAGAAAAGTCTGAACTTTCAGCCTTCCGTCAGCAGAGGGCGCTGTTTCTTCCACTAAACCCAGGAACTTTGTTCTGAATTCAAATGACCCAAGTTATTTTATGCAGCTCATTTCTAGAAGATATTTTCTCGAGGCATTTTACCAAKAAAGCAAAAGGTTCTGCTTTAGCCTATGACGAACACTTTGCATTTTTTTGACTAGCAAAACAAGGAGCTGAGATAAAACCTAGAATTATGTCATCTGTCTGAATGTGTGTGTGTGTGTGTGTGTGTGTGTGTGTGTGTGTGTGTGTG